TTATTAAAGAAGTTTTTCCAATGTGGCCAGATGAAAAATTATTTTTTAATGACGAACGCCTTCATTTTATTTATGAAACTTTTATATGGTCCTAGCAAAGTTTCAGTCTCAAACTTCATTAATTGCAAACCGATTGATTGGGGACTTGAAATATTGCGTTATACTTACAATAAATATAATTTACGTAAAATAAATCTCGTATCCAGAGCAAAGGTATTATAGTTCGAGGATGTTTGTGCTAATAGTGGGAGAGTACAAGTAAATATAAGAAAAAATATGGTATAGCTCAGGACAAACAAGTACAAATTGGTAGTAGTTATTTGTCAAGTTGTACATACAGGTCACAAATTGCCTTTGGAAAATGTACGTTTTTTTTACGTCTGCAGCAAGGCATGAGAAAGATTGTGTCATAAATTGATTGCCTGTCGCGTGGGGTGTTTATAGCAAATCAAATCTGTGATGTGACAGTAGACAGGTGTATTTACTAGTAAACATAAAAGTATTTCATTTTTTACTTATAAAGGCAAAGGAAAAATATATATATTCAAAGCGCATAAATATTTCTGTTATAAAAAAATATGCCAATTTCTTTATAAAATTTGTTCTTCTTCTACAGGGTATGTCTAACTAAACAGTTTTAAGGATTGTCTATTATTTACATTGATTATATTCCTTTCGTTTTCAGATTTCGTCAACTTGTCTGCTTGGATCGAAAAAATGTAGAGCTGCCGGAAAGCGAGGTAAGAAAATTAAATACTTCTGCTCTTAACGTCGGAAACGAACTAAATATATTTCACTTTCCATTCAGAAATTATATTAGAGCGAGATTAGGAGGGAATCTATCCATCTCTCGACCGATTTATGAAGTAAGGCAGCACTTGGACTTTAATTTTGATGTGTGTGTGTGTGATTTATGAACCGGAATGGAATAAATTTCCATTAATAAAATTCTCCAAGGCAGCGGGTACCTACGTATATTCCCATCAAGCGAAATGAAAGTCGGGACCGAATAGTCGAATAGGAAATATATGCGAACACTCCAAATTAATTTAGTCCACTACGGATAAATAATTTTAGTAATTAATTAAATATCTAAATAAATTCTATTTCGAGACTGTCATAAAATGTTGATTAAACTTTTTTTTTGTTTTGTTAGCAACGTCTATTCCGGCTGATGGTCCTTTGTGGTAATCGAAGCTTCGCTTCGTAGGGGAACATTGGAAAAATTTCAAAACATGGGTGAAATTTTGTTTTCTCGCATTGAACTTTCCGATGTCATTTTGGTTCCATGAATGGCTTTTTGGAGAAACTTGGAAAAATGCCTTGGAAAAACTATTTCGCCGATATCAAGGACTGCATACAGTTTAAAGCATGACAGGCTTGTCTCGCAATAAATAATCAATTTCTCGGTTAATAAATTTTCCCCGCTTTGAAACTGCTACGCTGTGAAATCGCGGCTGCTGCTGTTTACACGGTTATATGTTTTTTATCAGTCGCTGTTAGTAAAATACTTTGTTCATTGCAATCATTGTTTAAAAATGCTAATGTACATCACGTGTTTACGTTCTTTTTTATACGTGAAAACGGAATCTGGAAGCGTAGATACGGTCTATAATTCGAATAGGATTTATCTTACAACAACAAATCAGAATTCACATAGTAGGTTTGCATCCCAGTAAAAAATTGAATACTGGGGAGAACAAAAAATAAAAGAAATTGTGGGTATTGAATTTATTGTGTAAAAATTAAAGATAAAATTGGGGTTTCGAGGCCAGTGCTTTGTACAGGGTGCTTCGCATAAACCGGTTTACTGGAAAACGCCACAGAGATTGGATTCAATAAAAGAACACGTCGAAAAAAACGTTTTCTCCAAAAAATTGCAGTTTTATAGGTGGTTTACATATTACTTTTTAGTGATTACAATTAAATTAAACCCCATTGTTATCCTTGCTCATCGACAATAGTTACATTCGCTTCATTACGGCATACAAACCCTTAGGAATATTAAAAGACAACTTTAGCAAAGGCAGAGCACTACTATGTAACACTTTGTGAACAGAAGCAGTTACAGACTTTACTTTTCACTCCCAATCCAGCAAATTCAGTTTTACGGACCTTTTCGAAGCAGAACAGGATCGTTTTTTTATTGTTAGTACCCGATTTATGTTTCAGTGTACATATTTGTGGTTTATATGCAAAGTTTTAGTATGATTATGTCTCGAGTAGACGTGATTCTGGAACAATTAAGTGGTTTTAATGGCAGAACGTCAACTTCTGTAATTTACCATGCCTCCAGCTTTGCAAACTTTCTACTGTTAAAAAAAAATGGTCAACATTATGAAAAATTGCCAAGACAAAGATGCGATTGCCAATTGATTGCTACTATATTTTTGTCCCTATCCCAAACATATTGATCTTGAAAAACAGTTACGCCCAAATATGACGAAATACACCTATTTGTAATACAGTACAGAAAGACAAGGAAATACGATATTTCTAGCTAACGATATATTTAAATAATTAAATTAATAAAAGCAAATTCATCTGTTACTTTAATTTTATAGGAAATGCAATGCAAAGTGCAAATACAATGCAAATGGAGCATGCTGCTGTAAGGTACCAGAGTCGACATTCGAACACATCCTACGATGGGTCCGCAGAAGTCCGCAGCGGTGTCCGCCTAAGTTTTGGTTATTTGATCTCTCCGAATTTAACTCATTGTAGTATAACTTTCCGAAATTCGAAACAGCTTGGTAAATTAGATTAGAAAGTGGAGTGAATTTTCGAAATTGGCAATGTCAAAAATTAATTTTGCGCTTAGTTTTACATTTTTAGTACGATTATTTCCAGAATTTCTTTCTAGATTTCCTATCAGGTAATGACATATTTTCGTCACTATGTTTTAAAACAAATTTAACAACGTTTACCGGACGTAAATACTTAAATTTTCCTCTGATATTTTACTGTTATCGTGTTTTTTTACCTTATAAAACACATTTATTTTCACTGATTGCGCCCATAACTCAAATTAGTTCTGATGTCTCGGACTGGTGGGACGAAATTTCTAATAAATCTGCCGTCAAAATTGGTTCGGATGTCACTGTTGGCGAACATTCATAAATACAGATAGAGATTGTAGGTGGTCGTTACTTATAAATAACATAATAACGTGTGTGGTGATGAATAATTTCCTGAACAGAAGTATGCAGTAATATCGTCAATTATCGTATAAATTCCCGAAAACGTGTCAAGTTTCTTGTCCACCATGAATTTATGCCACGAAAGCTCGCCCACTTGGCTGATTTTTCAATTAAATTCTTACATGGGTAATCTTACATAATCCAATATTGTAAATGATCAAGCATGTGCTGCAGCGAAACTATTGATCAAAATATTTTCATTTCGTGCGTATCATTCGCGACTTAATTGTGTTGCTGTTTTATTTTTAGTTTTAGATGTCTGCAAACCTAAATTGGTGTTTCACATTTTATTTCCCTTATATTAAGCTAAAATAGCGTATTAATTTCTCTCCTGCGTAGATATTATAATATGGAGATACGTCATATGATAATTATTTTTCCTCAGTAAGCCCACTTACAAGGGTAAAAATGCTTGTCGAAAGCTACCGTGCGGCTCACCCAGTACAAAAAGTCACGGGCCAACACTTTCTGTAAGTAACAAACGAAACGATTTAATCCTTAGACACAACAATATATCACTTTTTTAACAAGACGGGCTGTTATTTTCTCGTTAATTAATTTCACTTCCAAGAAAGCAGTAAATACCAAGCGTGTGTGGGTATGAATTTAATATCAAAATATTTCCTAAAACATCCCCTTTAGGTATTATAAAATAATAATTGTTTACAGTTTATTTGTTTACTCCTCCCAGGAGACTATAGTGCTCTGCTTATAAAAATAAACTCAAGCTTAAAATATGGGAGGAAATATATGCTTAACATACAGGCCGAGCACACAGACTGTGAAGGCATTTTGTTGGATTATTTTTCTAATTAATTTTTGTAATATGTATATTTTTTGTTCAACACGAATATTTCACGATGATGGAATAGAAAATTGTAAAATAAATGATGCAAATACCTTGAAATTAAGTTGAAAACTTACATTTGTCATATGCAAAAAAAATTTCTAAGGCCCCTTGTATAAGTTTATCTGCAAGAAATAGTCTGGTACTGGTTTTAATATTAACTACGCTGGAAACCTTTCTCGTCTTCTCGCAATATATCCGGCTTGTGGCTATGACCGTATCTTTCAAAAAGGTTCACCCTCCTTGTCTCCTAACTCCTCAAGGGATAAATATGTGTTTTATCTGATAGACAACAACCCACGCACAGTTTCTGTGTGCAAAGAGGAAGGTGCCTGCGCCATAGATTATCTTATGGTAAAGTTTAGTTTGTTTCTGGATATAAAATTGCATTTAGAACATAGGTATTTAAACATAATTTTAATTATAATTTTTTTCTTCAGGACACTAATTAATGGGAAGAAAAGACTTTTTATTCCAATACAAAAAGTCGTAAAATCAAATATAACAATTTTTTTTAAGGAAACTGTTCTTTTCTTCCCATATTTCTTACAGCGAATCCAATACCCTTTGTATGTTTTAAATTTGCCTTTAGAATGTCTGTAAGACCTACTTCCGGACTTATAAACCAATTTCCGTGTAATATCTCGGACTGTTTTTGCAAGGGCCGTTAGCCAGAGGGGTTCCCAAGCAAGGTGACAGATTGAAATTGAAAGATCGGAATTTCTCGAGTGTTCTCTTGAATCAACGTTCTTAATTAACTAAACCACTACATAAGGAGAATGGCCATTAATTCTAGCCACAGTCTTAATGAATTTTCTCTTTTGTTCACACCTATCTTTATCGAGGGAATCGTAACAATGGGCGAAATGAGAAATTTACGTTCACCATTTTATCGAATCCACTGACAGGGCTGGTGGGGAATGAATCTGAATATATTTCGTTGTTTTCCTCTTACAACACAGTAACGTGTATTTTTACATTTCATTTATTACTTAATTTATAAAACTTACAGTGCAAAACTTATCGTTTAACAAAAAGTATCAAACTAATGGTTAATTATAAAAAAAGTCTGTATTCTCAAGTTTAGGCATCTTCAGGCTTCTCTCAACAATGCTTACACGTCAATTAAAGGTATATCTTTGTTGTCCTTTTTAGAAGATTTAAATTTCGTATGAAAAAGTGAACCTAGGCACGTTCTGAAACTCTCGTCATTAAAATACAGCAGCAAAAATATCACGCACGCGTTGCTGTACCAAATGATATAAGAAAGATACTCTAATATAATGGACAACTGAAAAATTATGTGAACCGTCAAAAATAATACGTTGGGCAGCCAGCATAAAAAATGAGACAGAGCTAACTTAAACTCTAAATTGCTCTTCTCCACAACAAAGCTGGACAACTTCAACTTTATCAACCTTAGAACAAATATTACAAGAATCAAGACAGTCACTGTGAAATAAGCCAGACAGACAATCAAAACCAGCAGCGGCATGCTTATGTAATCCAGACAGTAGAAAATTGATTTTATTAAAAGGAGCAGCACCAAAACCCATATATTTGCCGCTATCAACTTGTAATATCTCCTACAGTGAATGGAGCAAGTGCCTTGATTAGTGAACGTCAGGATATACCAGTCCAAGAGCAGAGCTGCTATAAACACCAGATTCCCGAACATGAACGCAAAGCTTGTCTCCAGCCATATACACAGAGCTGTCACAGACACAATTTCAGCGAAACCTAAGACGTTCAAGGTAGCGTGAGCAGATACGGTAATAACGAAGTTGCAGATGCACCAGTTCGCTAAGTAAAAGTACAGTCTGGTGTGCAGGACGTGAAAACGAATTGACATGAAAATTATTAGCGCATTTGCTAAGCTGGATAGAATCGCTACGATGGCTGTAGGTATTTCAACGTAGTAGTAAATATGGAACGAGTAGGTTTCGTTGGGGTCGAAAGTGGTGTTTTCCGTGTTGTTGTCGAAAAATTCTAGGTCCATTGCTGTGCCTGGCTGGTAACCATCTGCAATACAACGAGCGAATGAGTTATTAATTTGTTAGAACTTATAGACAAGTCTTATGGTTAAAATTCAGTTTTTATATTATTATTTCTCACATTTGGGTGGACACTGAAGAATGCCATTTGGGATGTTTTTCCCAAAAATTGTTGGAAATGGCTACATTAAAAAATGACGGGAGTTGTGGAATTGTTTCACTAGATGGAGTCACAGGAAAAATGCTGTAGTACTGAATGAGCTAGGTTAGGGCGTCATTTTCAAAATGGTGTCCAAAATCGTAAAAAGCAGTTTTTTTCATGTAAAAAAAACATTTTAGAGAAAAAATGTTTTAGACAAAAGTTCTAGATCTTTTAATAACAAAAATTTTGAGCCCAGCCTGATGTCAATTGATAAACAAATGTATTAGTTATTGCAAAAAACTGTCCAAAATCAAATTTTTTTTAAACTTCTATATCTTTAAAACGAAAAAAGATTTTTTTACAAAAGTTTCAGAATATGTAATCCTTGGCAAGTAGGATAGGTACATTTTTGTAAAATATTTTATAGTTTTTGCAAAAATTGAGTTTTTCGAAAAATATACATTTTTTTCAAGTTTCAATAAATCATACAGTAATGCATTTATGTGACCTATCCTGGGCTTAAAATTTTCTCTAAGAGTTGTACTTTCCTCAGCAAATAGTACGCGTATTGCAAAATAATTGAAGATGGGCGAAAAATCTACTTCTTTTTTTAGGTATTTTCGACAATTTGGCCTAATTGTTTAAGATGTCCACAGAGAAAGAAATCGAGAGTCACACATTAACGAAAAACAAGTGTTAATGACTGCCTTTGACACCACATGTGGTGTCAAAATGGCTTTACAAAATTTTCATTTTAACAACAAACATTTTCGGGAATTTAAATTAAAAAATTAATTAAACCATTAGAGATATATTAGTGAAATTTTCAGGACTTACTTGTGTAATATTTACATTTCTATACAAAAATAAAAAAAAATAGAGTTAACTCATTATCATATATTTAAATAACTTTTAAACAAACAAACGAAAATTTACATGGCTTCTCAGTCAGGTAATAAAGTTTTTTTATTACATCCGTCGTACATTTAAGTTTAATATTCCGTAAGAAAATTTGAGTGCCCATTATTAGTTTAAACAATATCAATTTTTATATCGTAGACCAATGAGCAGTGACTTGGCTTGAACTCCATTTAAAAAAAACCGTTTTATCTATAATTAAACACAATTAAACATTATATTTATAACAAATATATAAAAATTTCGCATATCTTTAAAACAATTACCACGGCTCTACTAATTAACGGATTTCAATTTTTCTGGACGCATTTTAAAGTTTGAGTGCACTTTTTTATGTGATACAATTTTCAAATATCTAGAAGTCTTAATTTAGGCTCAGTTAAATTTCAATTTTTTCTCAAAAATCTGGATTGCAAAATTATTACTCGAAAACTGTGGTACTGATTTTAACGAAAATTGGTGTGATGTTTTATTATATCATAAAGATTTTTTTGGCCAAGTATGAAGATCCTACCTATATAAGTACTTTTAAAAAAATCGCAAACATATTGTAATTTTTTTTCACTTTTTTGTTTCTGCTATATTTGCAATAATTATGTTGTATTTTTTATTTGAAAATAGGTATATCATGTGTAAAATTTAATTACGAATCTTTTTTTCCTTTTCAATTTTTCACTAAAATGAATAGTTTTTGAACTGTGTTGAAAAAAAGAGAAAAAAATGGAATTTTTTTCAATTTTTTCACTGTTTATTTAATAATAAGTTTAGCACACATTTTGAAGCGCGCGCATAGCGAAATTATGTTTTGTTATATCATTTTGGAGCCATTAAAGCAAAAATTAGCGAAACTATATAAAACATCTACACCAAAACAGGTCCCGCTCGGTCTATTTGAAATAAATATTAACTGAAAAAAAGGACACCCACCGGGGATCGAACCCACAACCTTTGGATTAGTACGAAAACACGTAGTCTCTGTGCTATCAACACCCTCTTTGGTACGTTTTCATAACAAGGCTTATATACTTCATATTTTAAATTATAGTTGCCTCTTTAAGTATAAACAATTACAACAATGAATATATTGACAGGTGAGTCAAATCATGTCAAGCGGACCCCCCATTAACAACAATTTTTTTGCAATCAACGTGTTCGGAACTTTAAATTAAATAATTAAAAGGATACTATGAAAAACCCTTAAGGGTTGCAATTTTCAACCCCTTTCAATGGTCGCAGATGATTAAAAATATCGTTTGTTTGATAGGATAAAGTAACACTCCAACTTGCAATTTTCCATGTTCCTCCAGCTGCGAGAAATAAAATATGAAATGGGCGTACCTTCAAAAATGAATTCAAAATGATTTTTTTTATCCTGTGTATTCTGTAATGATTATACACTAGTCACAAAAATTAAAGGATGAGAATAGTCCTAATTGTTTTAGGTTATTCTAGGATTTTCACTAAGCTTGAGTTAACTTTACTTGAGAAACTGCTGCGATTTTTGTGTTATTATGATCCAAATGATTGAAATAGATAAATAGCTAAAAATCAATTAAAAGAAAATTTTACATATTTTATAAAATTTTTTAAATTGAAAATGTTTTCTTCGTAAGAATCTATATTTTTTATCAAGAAATGTTAAATATCGAAAAAAAATTTTTAATAATCGGATTTTTCTGACAGTAGGTATTCATTCACAATCACCAAAAAAAAAGAGGTTTTGAGTTAATTAAAAAAAAACTTTTTTTCTATCTTAAGTTCGTGCAAACAATTTGTGCACATTAACTATTTGAAGTTTGCGGGATATCCAACTTTTTGCAATTAATTAATTTTCTCAGACAAGGTGGAAACCTTGGTAAACAAAAAAATTGTTTTCTTTTTTCTCTGCAGACAGTGAAACAATAAATAGTTTTTAACAGTACTTGTGCAGGATAAATTTATTAGATACTTACAACGTTTAAAGAAGCACCACAAACTGCATAGTTTACATACACTTTATGTGGTTCACTATCTACCACTTGAGTGAATTAAAGTGACGACGGCAAAATTTAACCTCGCAACAGTTTAAGATCAGAATCAGCTTAATTAAAGCATTATTTAATTAAAAAGAGTTTTGTGTACACTAGAAAAAGTACGTTGGAAGGCAACGGAATAAAACGTATTCTTAGTATTTTTTCGTCTTTGTAAATTGCAAATAGCGGTCTTGCAATTTTTTGTATTAATTCCCCTAAACTCAACAACGTGCTAGCGCATTCATTTTATGTTTCCTTTTAAATATTCGCGACATCCAGCTGAAATAACTTCCTTCTAATACGGTAGTGTGTCGTTGTTTTTAACAATTTAATTTACTTTCATATTTTGCAAGAGATACAGCAATATTAAATACTATTACAACGACTTTATTTTAGGTGACGAGTACACTTTGCTGGCTCGTTAAAATCTGATGTCTCAAAAATTTCCCTAAGCCTATACAGGGCGATTCACAACTTATCCAAAAAAATTTGGGAATAGATGCGGCATGAGAAATGGAGTCAATATTGTAAAAAAAAATTTGTAAAATCCTTAGTTTCTGAGAAAAAAATTATTGAAGTTATAGCACATTAAACCACTACATAGCTGGACAACTGTAGTCTGTAGCGTCATTCGCAATACGCGTGGAGAGCCATGTGACTCCTAATACTGAAATCCGTCGTTGCGGCAGTTTTTACCTGTTATCTGTGTTATTTACATCAGTTTTTTAGTAGTTAGTGTCAAAAATGGTTTGCGTGTATAGCAACTCAGAGTTGATAGATATCGTTTTAATTTATGGTGAAGCAAGACAACATTTGTATTATGGTGAAGTATTTGTGTTATGGTGAAGCAAGACATCATTTGTGTTAGTTCGTAGAAAGTGAGTAAGACGGACCCAAATGTGTTTACACGTGAGTGGATAAAATTTTGAACAATTGCTGTTGCAGCATCGGGTATGTCAAATGATTTTATTATTTAAAAACACAAATTAATTTTATTAATGATTAATAAAGGCAAAAGCATTTGAATTTGTCGATATAAAATAGGTCCGATAAAATTCTATTAACATATTTCTTTCATTGCAAGTTTTTGTCCATTTTTATCACGCCGCCATACCGGTCGCATTGTGCGAGGTCAGGTTTTACAGTGGACCAGTTTCCAGTGCCGTGCAGAAGTGTATTTTTAAATCAATTTCGAACTGACCTTTTTGATTTTTTCTTTACAAAATTATATTTGTAAGAGTCCCCTGTACATCCACAGTTTTTTATTTTGGATAAGTTCTGAATCACCTTCATACATATCTGTATACATACTCGTATACTTATATCAAGACAATTTATGAGGGGTTCTTTGAGGGGTTGTTTGTTTTCGTTGTCCCGATACTCTGTCGCCTGCGATTGGGTGCTTGCAATTTTGAGAAATTTATTTAAAGTTATATTTATTTAGTTTGCAAACGAGATAAAGTTCTCAAGACATCTCTAAAGTATAACTTTTAATTATTAATAACATTAAGACTTGAAATTTCGAGAATAAATCAATCAACCCTTAAACTTCATATAAGATATCGAAAAAAAAAATTTTTTAATCAGATTTTTTTGACAGTAGGTATTCACAATCACCAAAAAAAAAGAGGTTTTGAGTTAATTAAAAAAAAACTNTTTTTCGCATTTTTTCGAGAAACAATTATTGGCAATGGTACCAATAAACAATTTTCTTAAAAAACAATATTTGTATGTAAAAAAATTCAGGAAATGACATATTTTTTATGTATAAAGTTTATTTTAATGAGAATTGAGTTTTTGGATGTAATATGCATAATAGTATTATTTTTTAACATTAAATTACATTCATTACAATTAATATTCGACGCTTCGCATACATCGATATGGCTAACACGTCGCTAAGCTATATAAAAGCAATGTATTTAACTAATTTATTTTCCAAAATATATCTTTAACAGCTGTTTTAAAAACGTAACAACTGACAACATTGATAGTGCACCGATACGACTTACTGCTCTAATTCTGGATGTATACAAAAGTGATTTCAATAGTGTATACATAAGATTATTGACAGATTCGTAGATGGAAATACAGGGTGTTAAAAAAAGAGTGTAAAATATTTAAGGAGGTAATAGTATGAACCAAAATAAGCAGAAAAGTCTCAATAAACATGGGTCCGCAAAGTAACGGTTGCGGAGATATGGAATGTTTTATGTTTTTTAGCCCCTTTTTTTATTTTGCAAAAACGTTGTGTATTTTCTTATAATAGTTGGTTGATGTTTAGTGAAATAAACAGTACGTATTTGACAGTTGTTCTCAGTGCACAAGTTTTCTTTCGCTATGGCTGGTTACTCTAACGCAGAATTAACAGACATGCATTTCATGTATGGTCGTGCTAATGGGAACGCCACCGAAGCGCGACGTCTTTATGTTGACGCTTATCCAAATCGCCAGATTCCTTCACAACGCATGTTTGGAAGAATTCACCAAAGATTGCGTGATACCGGTTCCTTGAGCAAACAGTGCCATTTATCCGGAAGACCAAGGTCGGTATCCACTCCTAGAGCAGAAGAAGAAATTCTAGCACTGGTAGAGCAGAATCCAGGTACGAGTGTGCGGAGAATATCAGCCGAGGTAGGAATTAGTGGTCCTCTTGTTTGGAGAATCCTTCACGAGCAACTGCTTTATCCATACCATGTGCAACGAGTACAGGCCTTAAATCCAATAAATGATCATCAAGCACGTTTGGTTTTTTGCCGCTGGTTTCTACGTCATGATGCTGAAGACCCTCGTTTTCTTGCAAACATTCTTTTTACTGATGAGGCCGGGTTCACAAGAAATGGAGTGTTTAATTTTCACAATACGCATATTTGGGCCGACGAAAATCCTCATGCTCTAATAGAATCTGGACATCAGGCACGTTTTTCATTAAACATTTGGATGGGTATTGTAGGTGACAGGTTTCTAGGTCCTGTTGTTTTACCAAACCGATTAACAGGCGCTGCTTACCTCAACTTTCTGCAGAACACACTGTATGAGTTTTTGGAAGACATTCCTTTGAATCAGAGGCAACAAATGTGGTTCCAGCATGATGGTGCTCCAGCTCATTTTTCCATGGCCGTTAGAGAGCATTTACACCAAACTTTTCCACATAGATGGGTAGGAAGGGCCGGACCTGTTTTATGGCCTCCAAGATCGCCTGATCTGAACCCTCTAGATTTCTTTGTTTGGGGATATTTGAAGACATTAGTGTATGGTACTCCTGTAAATAGCCTGGAAGAGCTGCAGCTACGGATTAATCAAAAGTGTCAAGAAATCCAAACCAAGGAGGGTGTTTTCGAAAGAGTTCGAATATCGTTGAGACGAAGATGTCGTGCCTGCTTGGAAATGGACGGAGGGCACTTTGAACATCTTCTGTAACTTTGTTTTTTGTTTGTTAAAAGCTTCCTTTGTCGGTTTATTCCTAATAAAATAAAATGTTTGAAAAACGAATAGTGGTCCATATCTCCGCAACCGTTACTTTGCGGACCCATGTTTATTAAGACTTTTCTGCTTATTTTGGTTCATACTATTACCTCCTGAAATATTTTACACTCTTTTTTTAACACCCTGTATATGGACGTAGAGATAAAATACAAATTTTGTTTTCTAATAAAATTTTAAGTAACGCTCAATCCTTATAGCATAATACTCCATCTTTTATTTCCCCATCTCAGAGGGATTTTAGAAGGAATCTTGAGAAATAGGCTACGATAAATACAAAAATATATTTCTTTAACATATATTCTCGATCCCATTATTATAACTGACAGCGTGTTCTTCTACAAGTTCATCGTTATACTCCTTACATCTACAGCTTAACAGGTGCTTGAAAAACGTATTATAGTTTCTGTCGCTGTGATACAATATCATGAAAAAGTAAAATGGATTCAAGGTTGCGATGCACAATGCTACATTTATAAGTATCTGAACCGTAAGATGGCTGAAATATGACTCGGTGAGAAGAACCAACAATACAAGCAAGTAAGATAAGAACAATGTGTTTGATAGTAAAAATGGAATATTTTTTCGATTGCTGTAGTCAACGAGCCTTCGCATTTTCACGGCATGTACGATATTAATAACAGCCATAAACAAAATGAAAACTAACTCGGATAAGTACAAAATTATTTCAGGCAGTAAAAACCATCTATTAATACAAGTATAGACATTGAAACCTGCCAGAAATATTAACAAAACGTAAACAAATATCAGCACACCTTTAATGTTTTGACAAAGTTTTACATACTTTTCGGTGTGATATAGTTTCAAATACCAATATATAGTTAAAATTATGATTAGTAGTAAATCGGCTAAAAAAAGAATATGTTCGATTTGCTGGACAAGGCAAAATATTTTATATGATACCAAATGCAGTAAATATAAAGCTGTTCCAAAGGTAGTAGGAGATATTATCGTAAGCGGGCAGTTGATTATGGCCCAGTTGAGAATAATTATGCTCCATTTTTCTTGACGTAACCGCTTATACTTTAGAATAACAAAAATTATGAGTATGTTGGCAGTTAGACAGACGAGTGAAATGACAATGTAAACTTCTAAAAATCGCTTGTCAACATCAGCGCCTGGTCCTTCGATCGCTTCTAGCTCTTCCGAGGCATTCCTAGAAGAATTTTTGTATTCGTCCGAAGAATATGCCATGATCTGCAATAAGACGGTATTATTTAAAAAATAAATAAATATCGTGATGTACACGGCAAATGTAATACAGAGAGAATGATATCAAGGACGTACAGAGCCTGATAAATGATTATGTCATGAGCGTCGAGCATAGGCAACCAACTAAAAATCCCTAAGCCTCAGTGCAGTGGTTGAAGCAGATAAATGTAATTTGTTGGAAATTAGGGCTAATAAATAAAACTAGAGACGTCTGTTCAGCTCACAAGGAGAAGGTAAGGTAGTCGGATTTTTGTAAGTTTTGATATTTATGGTACGTGTAGTTTGGACCTTGAATAAGAATTTTCCGAAGTAGTTCGAGGCAACGTTCATAAATTACCGAGATAATCGATTTTGAAGTTTTACCTGACAGCTAAATCCACTAGATGTGATACATTCTTCAAGTGGGAGCGTGGCCTAATTGGTACTGTTCGGGACTGATAGTCACAAGATTGCTGGTTCGAGTGAGCCGCGTGACTTTTCTTTTTTTTTTTCAAAACGCACCATATGATTTTTTATTATTTATTTCATCTCGAAAATTATGAACAAACGAAATATTATAATAAATGTATGTACAGGGAGTTCCTAAATAAGTGTCGCAACGGAAAACTGTAAATTCCTCTTTCGAGATACACGGTGTCAAAACTTTAATTTTTTTTTAGTTTTTCGCCAATATCTTAGAAATCGTTTGAACTACAGGACTGAGCTTTTGTACACACATTACCACTATTAATAGCTACTTTTTCGCACCCTTCTCGAATTCATTGGACGTGCCAGTGGTGGAGATTTTAAGGTATCGTAAGGGTTTTTCCCCCC